TGGCTTTACTCTCGGTGTACATCCTCACAATGGAACGCGAGCCCACAGGTCATTGTGACATTGCCCGTTTGTAAGGTTAACAGAGGACTGCCACATTGCGAGCAGTAGATTTGTCAAAAGTCGGTGTGCTTCTTGTTAGCATTAGTATTATAAATCTGTGCGTCTAGGCGACAATACTATACATCAGCAAGCATCTTGAGCTTCATGGGGAGAGTTGAAACATTTCTTAAAATAAGCTCTCCATGTGTTGTTATTGAGAGTCATAGGGAATATGATACTTGTGGACGATGTTTATGTGCTGAGACATGGTTGCTCATAATGATCCAGGGCAATACTCAAAGTATTCAGTGTTTTGATCACATTACTTGTTATGTTGAACAGAGCTCCATTAGGTGACCCAGCAGTATTTGTTGAATAAGCTTGACTCTGCTGATGGGACCCAACATGTTGATACCAGTTTTAGAATGTACTTACTTAGGCAAATGATGCTGGATTAACATTTCTATGGAAAGTTACAGTACTGAAACAAATGTTTGACGTGCAGATAGAACAGAGGTTGCTTTATTGCGTGTCAAACGTAACTCTCTGCAGAAAATGTGACCTTTAATCCACGAGTAGATGATGCCAGCAGTGAGAAGCTCCCGGCACGGTTTGGTTGAAACCAGATTTTTTTTCCATTTGACTGAAGAACAGATCTAGACGAGGCCGGATCCCTCTCGTATGTATTTACACAATCCTGTGCAAAACTGGCCCAAGCAACCAATAACCCCACCGAACAAACCATGGAATGCCTTCAAAGTGTGGGAGGGGAGGGGGGGGGGCAATCCAGCAATGTCAAATATTGCATATGACATGCATTTTCTCTAGTAGATGTCAATACAATACCAATGATCAAAGGTCTTAACCAAAGGGGGTTGATGTTCTTGGTTCTTTCGGTAAAGTCACGTAGAAGGGAAGTAATAAAATAATAAAAATAAAACATAATAAAATAATTCTCACGATGTTTCGGCCACAACGCAAGCAGCCGTCCTCAGGTGAAGACCAGGTCAGACGCTGTCTCCCCGACAGACCTGGTCTTCACCTGAGGATGAAAGCTTTAAATCGAAATTCAAAGGGGGTTGATTACCCCCAACTACGTCGCCCTCCCACGGATCTGCCACAGCGGTGGTTGCAGATTTACATCCAGAGAAAGCCAGAGCAAAACAAATCCACGATTTTTTTGGATGTGCTCGTGTGAGCTGGATATAAGCACACCCCCACCGGGGGCAAGGCTGGGTGGTGTGCTTATATTCGAAGGAGTGTGATTGTGTGAAACGTTGCCCTTTGCCTTTTCCCCACAAGTAGAGTGTAATGACGTGTTGCTTATATGGGAACTGCGCTTGTTAATATTATAAGGGTGGGCTTAACTCAAGATGTAAAAACAACACATTACATTTTAAACCACTCATTTTTGCATACAGTGTAGGACAACTTCAACAAAAAAATGTTTCTGGTGACTGATTAACAATAATTACTTATATTAATTATAATTACAACCCTATGTCAAGATGCAACAGACAAAACAATCGTTGAATAAGCTTACAAAACGTAGAACACACAAAAATAATCTCATTGCTTTGTTAATCCCCTGTTTGATGAAGACCTCCCCCCTCACCATGTCGGTCGCGTGGGTTATTTGACCATACTTCACCACGGTGGTCAGTGTGCATTAGTGAAAGCAGAGACGGCCCAGGACCCGTTCAGCTATCACTCGCCACTGATACCAGCCATGGCCAGGAATTGAACTGAGCTGGGTTCGAGTGCAGTGAGCTAATCACTGCGCCACCACTCCACCCGACTGTTCCATAAAATGATACACATTAATAATTAATACCCATACATGCTTTAACAGCACCAGGGAGTGCTGATAGGTTGTAAAATGAAATGTGTTTGTAAGTTTATTAAACTTGCAAATACCTAAGTCAGCTATTCAAGTACAGTATAACCTTTAATCTCACGTAAACTAGCCGAAACGTCGTGAGAATTATTTTATTTTATTATGTTTTATTTTTATTATTTTATTACTTCCCTTCTACGTGACTTTACCGAAAGAACCAAGAAGATGAATCCCTGCAGTCACGAAAGCTTTAAATCGAAAAGTGAATGATGTTAACCAGTGTATGAAGTCTAGTTACAGTACACATAAACAAACGTAATAAATAAGCTGAACATTGTTTCACACTAAAATAAATCATAATTTACTGCCCTTGGTCAGTGCGCTGCTGATGAAGCCCTCACCACGCTGCCCCGGTCATGGGGGTTTTATTTGACCATACTTCACCACGCTGGTCGGTTGTGGGTTGGCCAAGCCTGGCGCAGGGCCAGAGCCGATTCAGGATATCACTCATCACCGATGTTAGCCACAGCCGGGAATTAAAACTCAAGTCACCGGGACAATAAGCGCAGTGCCTAACCACTGCACGACTGCTTTTCCATATTGCACGCGCACACAAGCACACCGACTATACTCTGCGGTACAGTATTGGGGTGCTTTCAGAATAAGTAACGGAGCATAGCGAAGACATGTGCATTAAACACGGGGATAACATTGGCTCTTTTATATCTCGCATATTGTTTTCGTGTGTAAAAGCTACAAGAGACCCTACAAGCCCGAATGCCAGTGGTCGTGTTAAGTTTCGTGATGGGTTAGGCTGGGTCACGTGCTGTCATTCCATTACCGTGCAATTGGCCATGGTTCTCTTAATTGGTCCAGTGGCACAATTGTTGGAACGCCAGACTCAACAATTGGAAGGTCGCGAGTTCAAACGCCGATCAAGGGTCAACTCGCCTAATAATGCGTCATTGGTCGATAAAATCGGTACCACTTTGTGTGAGGTCAGTACCACGATGTGCGAAGAAGATGATCTCTTGCATGGGAATGTGAGATCTCCACCACTGGCTTGGGGCCATCAGTGGAGATGTCAGCAGCCGCATGACTAAATCTTAGCAAATTGATCATACGTTGACTTGTGGCTTTGTTTTTGGAAAGAGCAGCTACAACCACGTTGACCAGAGTTCGATTCCTGACCACGTCTAACATCAGTGGCGAGTGATAGCAGAGCTGAACATGAGCCTCGCCGAGGTGGACTCATTCTAAAAATGAGTTCCTATTGCGGCAGTGGTATCAGATCACTTCCAGCTTTAACCCTCACCTGGGCCCGAACCCGGGAAGGCATCAGTGGTGCGTGTGACGCCCTTACCAAAGGCCCATCCCGTACAATTGTTTTATTGGTAATTTTTTATTTGAATAAGTCATTGTCAACCCCGACCTCTGTGACATTTCAGTCCACAGGTCGGTCAGCCAATCAGTTCACTCAATTAATATTTATTTTATATCAATAAAGAACAACAACAAATTTGAGACAGCTATCATTTTCAATCTCTTTTCACAATCCTGTAATCGGAGCAATAAAAGTAATCTGTTTTTAACGTAATAACAAAATGCGAAGATATACGTTATTTTATTTACTTTCGACGATTAAAAAAATATTCCGGTGAAAGAATAACATTACGAGGCGAACATATTGTCAACTTAGAGCAATTTTAATTAACCGTGCTCAGTTTTCTGTATTTCGTCACTCCCACCTCTTTGGTGGCGCTATTATTCGTCATCCGAACTTCTTCCGGGGTTTCAGTTCAACGCTTATCTCGTACACGGGAAATCCCGTTTAGCCAGTCTGTTCGGTGGCAACGGCCGGCAAGCCACGAACAATCGAGTTTTTTTTTCGATTTAAAGCTTTCGTGACTGCAGGGATTCATCTTCTTGGTTCTTTCGGTAAAGTCACGTAGAATGGAAGTAATAAAATAATAAAAATAGAACATTTTTATGTTTCGATTTAAAGCTTTCGTGACTGCAGGGATTCATCTTCTTGTTTCTTTCGGTAAAGTCACGTCGAAGGGAAGAAATAAAATATTTTTATTATTTTATTACTTCCCTTCTACGTGACTTTACCGAAAGAACCAAGAAGATGAATCGAGTTTATATTTTAGTGCAGAGTCGCCCCAGCCACTAGCCATACGAGGCGTATATTATTTTTAAATAGAAGTATGACACAGTGCAGTACAGTACATACACACAATGTTTGGTCAACCTCCTCAATGGACTGCGGTCTCAAATAATGCGACCAGCTTCTCTTCGTTTGCGCGTTCATTCAGACTCCGTTCGCCGCTGTCTCGTCAGTCAAGTCACGTGCCGCTGTGCCCTCTGTTGAGTCGTCGTCACGCTCGGCGATTGTCGTCCACTCTCAGTCATCGTTGACCAAAGATAACATTGCACCGTGCTAACTAAACTAAACCTCATGGGACCTTCTTTGCCAGTACCGAAATATACTAATAGGGGTTTTCCCCTTTTTTCTGGCAACAAAACTGACACCTTTTGCAAGGAATCATGCTTACATTAACCACAATACTTGCAGTCAAATGCAAACAAAAAACAATACTCTCCCATGATGTAGCTGCTCACCCCGAGCTCTCATTACTCTGGTAGTGCGTTGTCTTTGAACTGTGCGCTTTTTGGCGTCATCTGGTCGAACGCCATATGAGACTAGGCTCCAAAGAAAGCTGTCTCTGGTGTGGACCAATCAGTTTCAAAGACAATGCATAAATTATCAGAGTATTGTTTTTTGTTTGCATTTGACTGCAAGTATTGTGGTTAATGTAAGCATGATTCCTTGCAAAAGGTGTCAGTTTTCTTGCCAGGAAAAAGGGGAGAAACCCTATTAGTAAACTAAACCTATTGTTCCTACCAGGTAAGGCCCACTGAGCTCTTTTTCAGAAGTGGGCTGGCCGCAAATGATAGCCCAACGAAGTTACTTTCTCACGCGGTCATATGTAGCAGCCAAGCATGTGTCTAAAGCCACCAAATATACAGGCGTCAGTGTCGGACAGCGAACACCGCGACCTCATGTATACCAGGTGAGGTCGTTAGCATCTCGGCGATCTCGCCACCGCAGCGAACTCACTCAGTCTGGGCTGCGAGATGTAATTCCTCGTCACGGCCTGCACGTGCTCCCTGGCCGCGGCGGCGGCGGCTCCATTCCCCGCGAGCCTCGCTTCGTGCTTGCCCGGCATGGTGAAGTCACGATCACGTTGCTGACGATGACGACGACGATGATGAAGACGACCAACGGGCGCGCCGACGTTACCTCTACAACAGCGACGCGCCGACGCAATGAAGCGTTAGAAAGGAAATGTGGCGGTGTGAATGAACTGGACTGGGCCACGAGACGTCGAGAAGAAGAAGGAACAGGGGGATCGTGTGTAGTGCGTGTATCTTCAATCTCTGCGGACTTGCCTAATATACCTGCCACGAAACCAGACGCGTCTACCTTGAGCCAGTCCTCGAGCCCTAGCCAGCGAACTCGCTCGCTCGCTCGCCCGCCCACCCACTCGTTGCAACCGTGAGCCCGACCCCCACTCCCCTCTCACCATCAGCCGACGGTCATGTGCGCAGTAAACACGGGTTAAACATTGCCCCGCGCCCGGCTCACAACCATAAACACCGCCGCGTCTCTTCAGCCACCGCTCTGGCCGGGTGAAACTGGCAGCAAGAGATACCAATCAGCTGCTGCTGCTGCTGGAGACCAGATTGCGTGTCGGGGTGGAGTGCGTTTGTCTTTGTTGCGGCCAACACCGGTGACGATTATCTGAACCGTCTTGGGCCTCTCCTAGGTCGACTCAGCCTCAAATGAGTACCCGGTGCGATGTGTGTAAACATCACCGCTGGGGAGACAAAGGTGGTCGGGCGTGGTGCTGGCCACTCACGCCCTCGTGTGCCGTGCCGGCCTTCATAGGTGCTGTTCGCTAACAGCACTTGCCCGTACAGTCTGTTCAGGCGCCACGGGGGGATCTTTGTCTTTGTTTCGTGTAAACAGTGGCTCAGCGGGACGCACAGGTGATGTGTATCTACCTCTGTGTCATCTCAAGCCAGTTCATCCACAACAGCTGCGTGGGTCTGTCCCGTGACCTGCCAGCGAGCCTTCAAGCGACGCTTAATGTGATCTCGAAATGCACCTAGCCTGGCACAAACGCTGTAGTGACGTCGTCGACACATTGTGCCGAATGGCGGTTGCTGCGTGGAGACAAAGGCGGTCGGGTGGTGTGTCCTGGCCACACCACCCACGCAAGTGCGCAGTGACGGCCTTAATAGGTGCTCGCAAATAGTACTTGCCCTGACAGTCTATACCGGGGGGGGGGCTAGGGCTTTGTCTTTTCTAGGTTGTGTGTGATTCATTAGTCGCGTGTGTCATTCGGTGGTGGGGTGGAGCGGTGGCGTAGCGCTCAGCGCCCACTGGTCGATGAACGCGGTGCCCTGAGTTTGAGTCCCGCCGGTAGCTTTGATTCGACAAGAATACGTCCGTGAAATGCAGCGGACGGGTTTATATTATACTGCGAAGTACTGTACGTGTTCCATCTCTAGATGAGGTTACCCTGGGCGCCTGCGTGTCAATTCATGGGCGCCACGGTGGTGAGATGTTAACTACCTCGCCTGGTATACAGGAGGTCGTGGGCTCGATCCTGACCCTGACGCACATTTAGAAACGTGAGTTTCGAGTATTTGGCTGCGAAACATTTCCACGTGATAAGCCACTTCGTTGAGCTGTCGTGTGTGGCCAGGTCGCTTCTGATAAATCCGCAAGCCTCATTATTTCGCACCACATCGCCAAGGCTGTCTGGCTTGAGTGGAGAGTGATATGGGAACCGGTCTCTACAAGCCCGGAGACCCTCAACCCTAACCCCGCAACTTCACCAACCGGCGCTGACCAGCGTAGCGAAGTATGGTCAAACAACATTTTGCAGCTGATAACGCGTCCAGCAATGAAACTCGTTTTTTTTTGTAATGAACATTCGGCGGAAACATCCGTTTTGAGAACAATAACTGCTCCAGAAATAATGACTCTTACACGAATATATATTGCACGTGTTTCTCAATCATTGCGCCGTAAAAAACAATAAACACCAGTAAGTCCAGATCGTCAGCGGGACATTATTCAAAAGACAGTACTGTATTCGTAGCTATATACAAGCATACTGTATATATACTGTACAAAGTGGTCCATATGTCCTGTGACTCCCATTTGATGCTCTAAAACGTAATATTTTCAAAGGTAAGGTTTATGTAAAACATTATTTAACATGCAATAGGAACAAATATTAGGGGTCAATTAATTGGGGTGGTCACAAGACATCTGGACCACGCTGAACATGAGTTCAATTCCGGGCCACGGTTAGCATCAGTGGCAGGTAAAACGCACCTGAACTACTGCAGTCCAGCTACCATGCTCGCTCCAACCTGCGCGGACTAGCGTGGTGAAGTATGGTCGAACAACCTCTATGACCGATATGGTGTGGGGAGAATTCATCCAGCAGTGGATTGTCACAGGACTGCAGAATAAATTATTCCTCTGTGTGTGTGTATATATACATAGCAGGAAACCAAGCGCATGGCTGCTCAAAGATTAACCTAACCGGTTGTTCTGCTTCTCAGTCAGACTTCGATCGGATCAGTTTAAAATATATTAGCAAACGATAATCTGTTAAGGCACTGAATAAATACAATAACACTGAGGTCCTTCGGACGATGGGTGTTCCGAACCAATGTTTTCCCTCGAATACAACGCGTAACGAATCTTGTACAATGTTGCTGTACTGCCCTGAACGGGTCCCATTGTGTTTTGCGGATGTCCATCAAATTATCCAAATGAGTAGCGAACTGTTTAACAGGCCACACAGCCTGCTGATGAGACTCAGAAAGCGGAAAACCGGTTCAGAGATTTCTGCTTGAAAACACGGTGCAGTTGGACAATCGTGTCTCTATATTTTTGCGTCGGTTATTGCATTATTTATTGAGCACAATTCGCGGCGCGCTGGTGCGGCGACTGACGCGCTGCGTTACGAAACCGAGCCAACCTGCGTCCGATACCGGGCCACTGTGATATCTGAACCACTTCAGAGCCACCTCCCCCACGCGTTACCAACCCCAAATCGACCATCGTGGTGAAGTATGTTCAAACAACCCCCCGACTTAGATGGCGTGGGATCACATTCATCTAGCAGTGGATGTACAAAGCGCCGTACGATATGACCACAGTATATAACTCGAGAAATATATTTCTTACGTAAACTTTGTTCTCCCCCCTTTTAAATTGACTTGTCATTTTAGAGAGAAAAATATTCGACCGGAATGTTCACATTGCGAATTGCGAACTTTAAATAATCTTACTTCATTGTATAACTGATCAAATAAAAGAGGAATCCACCAATGGATGAAGACCTCCCTGCGCCATGTCCGTTACCAGTGTATAGTTTTTAAATCCTTTATTAAATCCTTTATATTAAGTTCGCGTGCTTGCGTGCTTGCTTGCTTAGGACCGTGCAAATCTTTCGATCGTTTTTTAACCCACTTCCCGTGATCCAATCAAATAGAACGCATTCATGGCTTTGGCTGAACGTCAGAGTATAAGAGCCCAGAGCGTAACCCCTCCACAGGCCGTGGTGGAGTAGCGCAGTTGGTAGCGCCCTCGCTTCCCATGCCAAAGGTCGCGGGATCGATCCCCGCGTCCTCCACAGGCGAATATATATTTTTTTAAATCCTTTATATTAAGTTCGCTTGCTTGCTTGCTTAGGACCGTGCAAATCTTTCGGTCGTTTTTTAACCCACTTCCCGTGATCCAATCGAGCTGAAATGTTCTACACAGACTCGTTGTGCCAGACAATTATTGTTCGTGAAAAAAATTCCCAAAATTTTACACTTTTTAGGCAAAAAAAATAATTTTACATATATTCAATAGAACGCATTCATGGCTTTGGCTGAACGTCAGAGTGTAAGAGCCCAGAGCGTAACCCCTCCACAGGCCGTGGCGGAGTAGCGCAGTTGGTAGCGCCCTCGCTTCCCATGCCAAAGGTCGCGGGATCGATCCCCGCGTCCTCCACAGGCGAATATATTTTTAAATCCTTTATATTAAGTTCGCTGCCACGCATATAAAGGATTTATAGTGAAAAACTTTGTTTTTACGGGTTATACTTATATTAAGTTCGCTTGCTTGCGTGCTTGCTTGCTTGCTTACGACCGTGCAAACCTTTCGGTCGTTTTTTAACCCACTTCCCGTGATCCAATCGAGCTGACATTTTGCACACATACTCGTTGTGCGAGACAATTAATGTTCGTGAATTTTTTTTCTCCAAAATTTTAGACTGTTTAGGGAAAACAAATTAAATATTTAATTACCAATTGCTTAATACTGGCAGACAATCATCTGACCCATAGGTGGCAGCCATCTCAAGCCAGAGGACGAGAGGTCTCTAGCCGCCACGCATATAAAGGATTTATAGTGAAAAACTTAGTTTTTACGGGTTAATTTTTTTTAATCCTTCATATTAAGTTCGCTTGCTTGCGTGCTTGCTTGCTTGCTTACGACCGTGCAAATCTTTCGGTCGTTTTGTAACCCACTTCCCGTGATCCAATCGAGCTGACATTTTGCACACAGACTCGTTGTGCGAGACAATTAATGTTCGTGAAATTTTTTTTCCAAAATTTTACACTGTTTAGGGAAAACAAATTAAATATTTAATTACCAATTGCTTAATACTGGCAGACAATCATCTGACCCATAGGTGGCAGCCATCTCAAGACAGAGGACGAGAGGACTCTAGCCGCCACGCATATAAAGGATTTATAGTGAAAAACTTAGTTTTTACGGGTTAATTTTTTCCACCATAATTCACCAGGCTGGTCAGTGCGGGGTGGGGAAGGGGGAGGAGAACGGACCGGTTCTAACATCGCTTGCCACTGATGTTAGTCGTGGGACCAATCACTTTACCGTATAAGCCGCAATAACCACTGTGCTACCACTAAGCAATGCAACGTAGCCGCGGCATATTGTAACAAAAGAACATGCACGCGCATTCATCAATAATGCTGCCCCTTCAAAAAAGGCATATGTATGCGACGTTTCGCGAATGCGCCTTCTTCGCGGCGAAGAGATGAGCTTTAACGTCTGTTCTTTTCACACTCGGCTCGAGAGCGAACGAGCAAACGAACGAACGGGAAGCGTCGATGTTTGCGTCTCGTAGCCGACACTCGTGAAGGTCTAGCGGCTTCACGCAGCAGAGCGAGCGAGGAGGTTGTGGATGTGGATGGATTCGCGATCGTGAAGGCTTCATTGTTCCAGTCGCGGCGGAGAAAGCCACGTCGGACCTCGCTGCACGGCCGATGATGACGTCCCGCAACCTGCCGCCTGTGGCGACTAAGGCCGTGCGATGAGCTATTTGTGTGTGCGCAAC